CCATATCTCTGAGTTTTGAGTGGGCGCATGTCGCCAGTGTGCTGCGTTACTGTTTACATGTGTGAAAAGTGTGTTTGAAAACGAGTCTGATTGCACTTGCGCAGGGGCCATGTTAATCTTCTCTGTATCGTCCCAATTTTAACGGATGTCCCGAAGGACTCTTCTTTTTTTTTTTTTCCAATTTCTCATTTCTCAAATTCTGAGGAAGGGGTTGGTGAAGAGCAGACAGGGGAAAAAATTCAGTTATTTTCTCTCTCGACAAGTGGCTACACAGGCAGGGGAAAAGAGGGGAAAATTTCTTTCTCGACAACTGGCTGGGAACAAGTAGGGGGCACACACCCAAAAGAATTGTCCCTGAATAGCCGTACTTGGATCCTCTTTCTTTTTTTTTTTCCTTTTTTTTAATCCTCTTCCACCTTTTCATCTTCTTTCACCTCTCTTCCACCCCTCCACTCTTTACTCTTTCTTCTTTCTTTCCTTCGCTGGCGTTACTACACAATCTCGTGGCTTCTGCCACAGTATACAAGGGATACTGGCATAAATAATAAATATTGAATCAGCATTGTGAGTTTGCAGCTCTACTCTTCCTAATCTTCTTTCTCATCAATCCCTGGCGGTAATATACATGACTGCAATGTACGTCACCTGAGCGGGTCCTGGGGACCATCTCACGCAGATGTGTACATGTCATGCATCATCTTCAGTCTCAACCATAGACAAAGGTAGAGAAGAGGTGGACCGAGTATCACAGCTTATATTATCAAAAATATGAATACAAAGTGTTTCAAAGTTTCCCTGAGTCCAGCGCTCATCAGCGCAACACCAATATCTTGCCAACTCATCAATATGACTTCCAGTGAATCAGCGCTACCCCTGCAGATAGTCTCCAAGTCATCAATGTGGTCACTACTCATCAGCGCCACCTCTGCAGGTCACATCCAACTCAGGTAAGTATCTTCCATAGCCAAACCTTGAATGAACACTCTCAGCCTCAATCCTTTCCTCCTATGATGCATACACACTCTTTAATACTCATGAGGATCTACTCTGGATACTACTCATAGCTACAAACCAACCCTCTACTACTAATGCTAACTCGCTGGGCAGCTATGGCTGCATCACTTCCAGCGTACAGGCTTCTTCCTCCCTCCAGCGCGTCTTCTCCTCCAGCGCTGCTCCTCCTGACTCAGCGCACAAGTGCACCAGCACTTCCACGCATTGCAGCCAGTGGAGATCTGGCGAGGAATGAGGCAGGCAGCTCTTTTTATAGTGCTGGCCACTCCTCGCTGGGTCTRCATTRGSTCAATTCAGYCTCTCCCTTTGTCCCAGACCCTGCATTGCATGTGTCCCAGTATAGTCCCAATGAGATTCAACTGCTGCTGAGGCACTTCGGCCTGGATTTGGACTTGAAAGTCTGGATCTGGACTGACCCCTTGACTTAGACCAGAACTGGGACTGTGCCTACTGACTTCACTTTCGGACAGGCACAACTCTAAACGAACAGACACATTTACTACTTGAACAGGCACTCTCCATTGCACGAACAGGTACACTGCCTGCACGTACAGACACACCCTTACCCGAACAGACATGACATACACAACTCCTGGTGAACAGGTAAGTCCTTTGACAATGCCCTTTGCCTTAGATTTAGATGTGCCTGTTGATAGAGAACTTGACCTTTGACCTGCTTTCACGTTTCTGAGCCCTGGCGAGATGCTTTACTTTTTCAAGGCCCGTGCTGCTTTTCTTTTACAAGGCCTGAGGCCTATATCGGGTAAAGGCCCTTTTAGGACATACCAAAACCTGCCTGCCCAAGATCATCGATTTTTGCAGCTAAAGGTCGCCTTTCAGCTGTTGACTTGAAGTTAGCGGAGGACCGTAACTGTATCGTACTTCAGATGCTGCGGTGTACAGAGCATCCGATGGCTGCTGCGAAGCGGGGTGTGTGCAGAGTGTTTTCGAGCAAGGGCAGCTGCAGAAGGCTACTACCGTCTTCACCCGAATAGAACGCCCCGTCATTATTGCTGCATCTGGACTGCCGGTTGGACCAAATGCAGCCATAATGACCGGGTGTTCTATTCGGGTGAAGACAGTAGCAGGAAGGTCAACTTGGCAGCAGCCTGCAATAATGGAGGCCAATAGAATGATGATGCAAGGGGTCAATGGGAGTGCAGCGCGCTGTGGACGGCTTCCGGGACTTGCAGCCGACGGGAGAGACGAGTTGGTAGAGGATGGCATCTGGTAGCAGTAAGAGTTTGCGCTGGGAACCAGCAGGAGATGAAGGGAAACAAAGCAGCAGAATGATTGGCAACAACACCCTTGGCCTGGATGCGGCATGGTCGTCCACTACCTCTCCGAACTGGGAGCGAAGGACCACATGCATAAGAAAGGGCCAAGGAAAGCAATGAAAGGCTTTCAATGGGGAGCGAAAATACAAGTGTAAGTGGCATATGACTCTCTATATACATCCAAGGATGATCGCGATGAGTGATAGTTATACATCACCTGGAGTAACTGGAACCGACGAAGAGGAGTGATGGCGGGAACGGCGGTGGTGGTGATGATGATGATGGTGGTGATGATGGTGATCATCGTCGGTCATATGGTGAAGGAAGTCCAAATGGTCGTGGTGAAAGAACTGATGGTGAACTTGGTGAGGTTTCGGCACCTTCGCTTCCTGTGGTAGGTTAGCGTCAAACTGCTGCACAACCAGGAGAGAGGATGGTATCTGAGAGTGGTTTATAGCGATGGCGGCCCCAAGCACACCCAGAACATCCACCTCAGCCCGTGCCTCTGGGCAATGAGCATAGTTGGTATGGGTCGGGAGTGACCCCCCTGTGCTGGTGTCCCCTGTGGCAGGAGGAGTCGACGGCCTGCTGCTCTTATCGCTGACACGTTGACGATGCCAGGTGCTGCAGCCCCGCTGCGATTCCTGATGATCGCTTTCGCTCATTACTGCTAGTGATTGAGATACCCCTGGAGACCCACCTTCCACCAAGCCTTCTGTACCGTTCAAGGTTATCGGCATGGCCTCCGTTCTCCCCTGGCCAACAACATCCTTGGTTGGTTTGAGAGATGGCTTTGCATTCGGAGCAACTGTTGCTACCTGATTGAAGTAGTGATGATGGTAATGGTGGTGATGGTGATATTGGCCCCCACTTTTGTCTCTACCATGATGGTTGGCTTGTTTGACATGACACGAATCTTGGTTTCCTTCGCTGGCAGAAGACAGTGCATGGAGCTGATCCTCAGATTCTCTCTCTTTCACTCCCCCACTCTCTATGTGGAAGCGGCTGGGGTGTCGACCACGACCCAGCAACAGCATGTCCTGGCCGTCAAGCTGCATGTGGGTGGCGATGTCTAATGTCGAAAGTATGGCGTTTTCTGATTGCCGAACATGGAAGAAGACATTTGGCAAGGATGGTTGCTGTTGCGAACAGTGATGATGGCGACGGACCCTGCCACCACCACCATCACCCGCATCACCCGCATCGCCACCATCCAGATTGTAGTCTCCCCACCTAACAGTGGAACCCCCCTCCTTTGCAGGCTTTCTATCACCATCTGCTGAGCGATCACCACAACATGTGAGTGTTTGGCAATGAAGCTGTAGGATATCTGCTCCCGTTCTCCTGCCAGTGCCAACCCCGGTCCTGCGAACCAACCTTGCCTTCCTCCGGTTCCACGGACTCTCATGTGCGGCACTCAGGGAGGGCCCATCAGAATTCCCACTCTCATACCCACTCTCGTCAACATTGCTGCTTGTTGTGCCTCCTCGGTAAGACCCGACATCACCCCTCTCATTCTCGTTGGTGCAAGGTTGGTCAGAAGTTCGCTGCGAGGCCATGGAGATCTTCGGTGTTCGTGGTGTGCACTGCAGCTCATTACCGCCGCCACCGTGATCTTTGCTAGATGAGGGCAAATGCTGATGGGTATCTGATACTTGACAGCTCGGTCTACGGTGGACTTGCCTTCTCTGCGCGAGCATGGCCTCTATTATCGGTGCAATGACTTGGTCATCAAGTTGTCTCTCTCTCTCCATCTCCAGCCTTACGGCGTCCACGACAGTAGCGGTGGGAGATGGTTGCTGTCTGCCAGAAGATTGGTTTGCCTGATCTGGAAGTGGATGACAATTATCGTTACGGGTTCCGTGGATTTCCAAGGGATGTATGCACGAGCTTGACTGCGACATCCTAGGGTCACCACTCAATGCTTCTGATCCCGTTGCTGCTGCCAAGGGGTCTGCCAACTCCTTGGCTGTCTTCACCACCACAGGGGACGCTGCCGCTGAATCCGGCACTGGAGCCTGCACATTCCTTGTGGCAGCATCTCCAGTTCTTTCTGATAAGCCAATGCCACCAATCTCATCATCAAGTGCTTCTGGAAAGGTCTCCCATCCCTGTCTGATCTCCCCCACAAGCACAAAACGTACCACCCGCAGCGTTACACCTGGAGCGCTGGCGAGGTGCCTCCCCAGTGCTAACGCCTCTCGATCATCTGGCCCGCCGAAGAAGAGAACCACCACTTGCCGGTTGCAATTCGATTTCGCTGATTCCATCTCGTCAATCGCCGCGCGCTGCTGCCGAAGGTTCAGACCCCTGTCTAAGAACACGGCCACCGAGCACGGAGGCTTCCTTAACACCTCAAGATTGACGTGATGGAAACGAGGGTTAACGGGCCCCATCTCGGCATGGCCGTGGTAATGGAAGTCTATTGGCCACATCCCTGCATGCCTGTGATGCCCACAAAAAAAAAAAAAACAGCGGCAGAACGAAAAGCTAAGGAAATATCAGAACCTCAGAAAATTCAGACTCCCCCCGAACCACATCGCCGAGAGCGGCGAGACGTACAGACATACAGCGGTTGACGAATAGGCCACCAGACTCACCAGTTCAAATCCTGCGGTATACAATACCGCGAGAGGCACAGAGTCTACAGACATACAGCTCTTGACAGACAGACCATCAGTACAAATCCTGCTGGTCTAGTTTTTCTAGGCTTTTTGGTTTGTTTGTTTTTTTTTCCCAAAAAAGGAAGGAGCAAAACATACCCAGGAGCGTAGCTCGGTGGGTACACCCATGAACTGTTGAAATATACAGACCGGAGTTTGAATCCAAATGACGATACATGGTGAGTAAAACCAAGTATTTCTGAATTGCCTGGGGCCGGTCAGCTCAATGATGATATCTCAAGGCCGTCGCCCTTTCTATTATATATATATTCGTCACAAACAGAACTGCCCGGTATGTATATATATATATATATATATATATATACATTAAAAGAGAAGGAACAAAACATGCAGACAAGTATCGTGCCACTCTGTGACTTCCAGCTGTTGTCATGATGCCCCAGTATGTTTGCCGACAAGCGTCATGTCACTCAAGTTCACTCAACCCACCACGCATGTGCCGTTCATGAATACTTCCTTGTCCAAGCACCTGAAATCAAGTTCCGGTTGGTTCGGATGTACCTGAACACTGCAGACACAGATATTGGGCAAGCGGACTGATTTTGTTCATTGGTTTTGTTTCCTGGATTTGGACTTTCGCTGAAGCTTTGCACGGATTCTTAGGTCTCGAGCTCAAAATTCTTGAATTCTAGGTTGCATTTTGTTGTTCCCAGGCCCCTAGACAATTGGTGGACGACATGGTTTGTTTTGCGGACCACATGGTCCATCCAGTGCACCATCTGGTCCATCTGGTGGCGCACTGCATGGTCCATCTGGTGCACCACTGCATGGTCCATCTGGTGCACCACATGGTCCGGCTCAGTGGGGTGTGTAATAACATAGCACACTTGTCAACTGGTCAAGCCCCCAACCATCTGCATCTAGGCTGGAAACCCAGGACTCCATAGGATATCCTGTTCCCAGATCCTAAAACACAGGCAGCACCTGGAACTATAGAGTATGCCCTTGAGAATGAGCTTCTGGAGATCAGCGCTGTAGAGGATTGATGGTAGTGGAGGGGAGAGGTCTTCAGAGAGAGAGAGAGAGAGAGAGAGAGAGAGAGAGAGAGAGAGAGAGAGAGAGAGAGAGAGAGAGAG